TAGTGTTTTTACTGCAAGATGGTTTCGTCCAAAGGCGCCGTTTGAACGCTTTTGGTGAATTTAGTCTTACCGACTCAGCCATAAACTACCGCATTGCTACCTTTAATTTGTGGAAATTGCACACTCACACCAACCTCGTACTGTACAGTACAGTACAGAAAAATGCGCTGAATTTAACGGTGTAGTTAATTTTTACTTACAACACAAGCTATCACCGCTACCTTCGTTTGCTAATATTCTCGCGTCGCCCATGACTGTACTGTATTAAAGTATTAAAGTAGTACTGTATTAAAGTATGACATAGCTTCTAAGCCTTGACTGTTTCACAGAACAAAGTGACATACTTACAATTCATGTAGTGCTGGTGAAAAGTGTAATTAACGAAATTGACCTTATAATTGATACGAAATTTGTGGACATGAACAGGAATTTCTGCTTTCGCGTAACCCGAAACGCATGTCAGAGTATTTTCATTTTACGATACTCAGTCTCAGTCCATTCCACACAGAATATTACCACATGACAACGACTAGTGTGAAGAATATTACCACACCATCACACTAGTCGTTGTCAGCTTGCCACAAGGCGCAGTTTAATTCGGGATTTGATACCGTATTACCCGAGCACCATAATTGTATAACAGCCCATTCGCCCATTAATAATTTGAAATTGTACAGTACAATTACCTCACTAATCTGATCTGCAAAAGCAACGTGATCAAACAATTTGTGCAACATTTAAGCACGTAGATCTTCTTATCGTACTTTTATATCTTTTCCGGATAGCCTTTGACCTGCCGCATTAAAAAATCGCGTAAACTAGTCACATCCAAAATGCTTTACGTTCTGTTATATACCGCTACAACTTTTACGAATAAGCAAGCAGCCTGTTAGCCTGGGTACCGTATAATACTTAATTACTTAATGGACGTATGATCAGCATGAGAACGGCGATCTGGACAGTACCTACAATATTATGCATTGGTATGGTTTTCTCGCAACTACCACTGCAGATCCACGCGATTATCCAGACGAAAACACTGATGATGAATCCGAACCGGAAGGTGGGTTTGTTTAGGTTTTGAACTCATTTGCACCGAGCGCGAAGCGCGAGGTGCTGCAATAAGTCTTCGTCAAGAGCATAAAATTTGTCTGAAGCCACGAAGAGCGTACGTCACGCTTTTCCATTTCCACAATCCCAATACCATTTCCCAGTGGTACTGGCGCTCGCACTCGTGCAGTAAGGTGGTTCGCAACCACCGCTAGTTAATATTAATACGCACTTTAAGCAGTAGCTACGCATTTATCGATGATGTATATCCTTTTACTGATTAACAAACATATGCATACATTATGCTTGTCTGCAGGCGGGGAATACCAGACTGATCCACATTCCGCCGAGCGATTATCGGAGCGAAGCACATACAATGTACAGCACGACGATATCATGTATGCCGATTCCCACTCTGCCGTTTCATTGCCCAGTGGCACGGATGCGTTGAACGGTTAGTAGACGAAAATCGGCGTGTAACTATCGCTCGCTTTGCTACTTCTTCGGTAAAACGATTTGTGAGGACGAAGTACAGTATAAACTTCTAAACTAGTATTAAAGCCGGCGAAACAGGTGTAAGTTGAAGATTTGGAGACGAAAGTCGATCGAACGCATTGAACAGTGGCTACGTAAAAGTGTGCAAACTTATTTTTAATACGCCACACAACGGCCGAAAATAACAAGCAGTCAGAAAAAAGGTGTGTGGCATGATAACGGTTTTGCTGAACTATGTAGTAAATTTTGGAGTCGCAAAAATTACAATTTTGACAATAAAACTTTTTGTAGGGAGGAAGGGCTTTGTTAAGGAAGTCAAAATGGACTGTATTTCGTCAAAGAATATCGTAAGCTTGAAATTGTCAAAATTAAATAACTTAAAGGTACTACATTGGAAATCCTGTTGTGCGCGAGAGGAAATATCAGGAAAATGTTCGAACTGGAATTAAAAACAAACCTATTGGCTTACGTGGAATACGCTTACGTGGAAAAGATGGGTTACGTGTTTTACGACCTGGCAGTCGAAACTTTTGGCACTTTCAGTTCGGATTTTAAGGAGCTCATTCGTTTCGCTGGCAGAAAGATCCGTGACGTGACAGGGGAACCTCGTTCTACTGCGTTTTTGAAGCAGAGATTAAGTCTAGCTTTAGTGAAAGGAAATGCTGCTGCTGTTTTGGGCACCTTGAATATGCGTCCTAGGATTTTTGATAGCAATAACGATTTTGGCTGTTTTACGTTTAAATTTGAATCATTTTAAGTAGTATTACGCGAATGCACTTTTTGTAACATTGATGGCCTTTGCCCAATAAAACATTTCAAGCTATTGGTAACTGGCCAACTAACTTGTAAACTAGTGTTAACAGTACACAAGAATTCGCACGGTATTCAACGGCCGGTATCTGGCAATGACTGCACATGTTTTCGCACAATTCAGTGCGTTCGATCGACTTCCGACTCCAAACCATCAACTTACACGTGAATCGCCGACTTACTTGTACCTATGACAGAATGTCGGCATTCACTTACCAAACGAATGCGCGAACTTGGTAACTTTGGGTATTTCTTTAAGAAAGTTCCAGAAATATGGAAGCGATTACATATTGGCCAAATGGAAGAATTCCGTACGAGATCAGCTCCATGTTTGGTATGTAAAGTGTATTGTACTGGGTCCAGCTTTTTTACCAGCTAACACATCCACAATGGTATCATTGCCAGATGGAGCCAGTGAATTCATTATCAGAGAATCAATGCATCTAATAGAGAAAGCAACATTTGGATGCATTAGTTTCGTACCGAGAAACAACCAGTCCAACTTTGTCGACTTTCAACCGGGTGAAAAGTAAGTGCGCAGTTCTCATTCTACAAAGCGCGAAAGCGACTGAGTGCTGTAATATCGTTTTCCGCGTTGTTCTTGATTCAATATCAAAATCGTAAGTAATGTTGAAAGCGACTGTCATTAATGGGACGAAGTTGGGCGTTGAATATTAAAACGTTGAATGCAGACATGCATGCATGCTCTGTACATGCTCATTACTTATTAGGCTTGTCTGTAAAAAATACTACCGGAAAGCATTGCACTTATTTACTTGGACTTTGCAGTCTTTGGGACTGCAAAACCTTAACAGAAATTAATGAAAAACATTAGTGCTGGTAAAATCATTTTCCGGTCGTCCCTTAATTGTACAAGTTCAAGCTGCATTATTGGATGGTTTTTCAGCTGTTCATCTTATCTGGGAATGCTTAACAGCAGCGACCACCGCGGACAACCACTTTATCTGAACCAAGATACGAATTACAACTGCATGATACTGGGTATTGTCCAGCATGAAATCCTCCACGCCCTCGGCATGTATCACGAGCACTGCCGACCGGATCGCGAGGCCTTTGTGGAGATTGTAGACGCCAACATTGCCGCTGGCTATCGAGATAATTTCAAAATCAAGCGCAGCGCACCAACATACAACGTCGAATACGATCTGGAATCCATAATGCACTATGGACCATATGATTTCGCTGTGAATCCCAGCAGTAAGGTCATAAAGTTGAGAAGTGACGACGGTAATCCACGTCCGACGCTGATGATGGGCCAGCGTTTACGTCTGAGTGTGCGCGACATCGCCAAGCTGCGGACTGCCTACCGCTGCCAAGTGGATGCCGGGGATTACGCTGATGGTACTCCACGCTTTCCTGACTTTCTGACGAGCAGCTTGAAGAAGGAGGAGTGCGATATGGAGTCAAACGAAGACTGCGGCAGTCCGAAGAAGCAGCGCTCGTGCTATTGGTATGGGAGACCTTACTTCACCATAGCGTGCCAACCAGGCGTCGATGTCGGCCGTTTGTGGCATATGGCTTCCCTGATGGCGCGTACACCATTGCGTGCCGTTCACATTGCCCTTGCCGAATCCGATTTTACTGTCCAGCCATTCGAGCCCATTGCCCAGCAAGTGACGAGTGTCTGGCTGATTAACTGTTCCACGCCGTACCCTGTAAGTCGACTGCGCTCGGTGGGTTTCGTATACCTGGCCGAATTCGGCTTGGAAAACTGCAGTAATGTGGCCATACAGAAGGATGATTTTCTGTATTCCCGGAAACTTCGAGTCATTAGCTTTCACGGAACCACGTTAACCTATATACAAAAAGGTACCTTTACCAATTTGGCGCACTTACGGCTTATCGTGTGGCACAACGGTGTGAACGCCACCAACCCCGCCTTCTACCGAAAGGTTACGTTTAATCAAGAAATGCAGGATTTTCTGAAATATATTCACTGCAGCTGCGAACTGGCATGGTTGCGACAATGGTGGAAGGAAAGCAATTTAGTAAAAAATCCAGATGATGTTGGTAACATCAAAATGCCACATAACTGGTTTCAGGGATGGCATTTATATCGTAGTGAACTTTTTCTTCCTGTCGACTGCTTAGCCCAGCCATTTCCTTCTAATCTTGGTATGATTAATATGAGTCAGTGGGAGTTCTCTATTAACGAGCCATCCTGCGATGGATATTCAGAAAGTAAGAACGACGGTCGCTCCTCACCGTCCATTCTTATCCCGCAGATGGCCGCCAGTGCTGAGTTGCTTGACAGCCGCAAGCTGGCCGCCGATGAGTGCCTGGCACAGTTCGGGGACAAATGTCGTCCTGACGCGTGCTATCAGTGCCAGGCGGATAACAGTATATCGACTGTGGACTACTGTCAGCGCAGTATGGCGAATGACGAACGGATTAGCGTTATCCGATGCACCGCTGATGTGACGAGCCGCGAACTGCGGGATATGACCTTTTCCATGGCTAAACATCCAGTGAGAAGCACCGCGGTGGACGTGTTTGATGGAGATTATTTGGTATACCCGTCCTTCTCCGTCATCCGCCGACGTGTTCGTAGTCTGCGCGTGACGCGATGCGACACCGGCCGGACGACAGGTAAACTGCCAGGGCTGCAGTTTGACATGCTGCTGTTGTTGGAGTTAACGGCATGTCGAAGGCTGATTATCCAGAGAAATGATTTCCACGCGACGTATAAATTGGTCCTCTTTCAGCTGATTAACTCCACACTGTCGTATATGGATGCCGAATCGTTTGCCGATTTGCCGGCTCTACAACTGGCAACGCTGGACGCGGGACTAAGCCACATGGAAATGGAGTGGCCCAGCGATATGAAGCAGCATCTTTGGCAGCTGCACTGCACTTGCGAATACTTTTGGTTTCGCTCGTGGCGGACTTCGCGGGTTCTACCTAAACTTTACTTTCCTCCAGTAGCCAACACGTCATTCACAACAGCAGACATTAATACCCAAAGTGTAAACGAACTCTGCAGCCGTCCTACTGGAACAAACGGACTGTCTCCTCTCGAGTCCAATACGTTTGTGAAGAACTTGTTGAAGCACAGCGAATTGTGTAAAAACCGGGAGAACCTTTTTGTTCCTGTCGACTGCAGTAAAGAACGACGTTTCATTGGTACACTATCAACTAACGGCACCCAGTTACGCTTTTCGATCAACGAGCCCCAGTGCACAGGCAACGTAGATTTAAGTGCGAATGCAACAGTTGTTAAGCCATCAAGAAACCCCAGCACCGTCAAGCCCCGTAAAGGTTTGTTTATTGCTCGAATTTCCCATTTACTGTCCATCCAAATTGACACTTCGTTAATTCGTCAGTGCAATCAGTTTCCATTTGTAAATTGGCTTCCTTGCTCGTCCACGGTTCAGTTGACCGTTGGCCTTGGATTGTTGCACGTATATAATACTGTGCTACGGGCCGAGAAGCCAGTTGGTCCGAAGAGGCAATGAATGCACTGGCAAAATCTTGGCGACGGATTTAAGTACTGCTCATCTTCTGACTTCCGCAATTTGCAGGGAACTTTCGCGCTCAAGTTGCACAAGAGAAAAGATCGCAAATCTCCACAACCATCGTTAACGGTTTCGGAAAAACGGAATTCCAGGATGACCAGTGGTTAAACTCCACCGATCCGGCTAATGAAAGTGGTTTCCTGTCTGCAGACCGGTTTTGGCCAAACAATACTGTACCTTTCATTGTTAGCCAGTCATTAGGTAAGATCGCCACACCCAAACGGAGGAGCAGCTGTATAATATACTGGCGGCTCCATAATTTTTAATCAATTGCTTTTTTAAAAATTAAGTTAAAAAGCGCATTTTCAGCGTAATTGTCACGTATTGCGAAATACTTATATTTGTTTATTCAGCGAGCCAACCAGAGAACTGACTGATCCGTCTATCAGGAATTTAAACATTCATATCCGCTGGTTTGCACTTCAAAGGTCACATACTAAAGTACATGAAGTCACAGTAAATTCTGTGACTGACATGTATCAAACACTTTCAAACAAGAATAAAATAAGTTATTGAATTTGTTATTGAATTTCAATAAGTTACTGAATTAGCTAAGACTATTAGCTAGAATGTTAGACTATTAATAACGGGAAATTCAGCCCCCCTCCCCAATTTATTCGGCTTCTGTCGATTTGATGTCGGCTTATGAAGTGATGTGCGCCGTCCTCACTACAAAATGCTCACATGCGCGGCAGTGTTTGCTGCAAATTGCTTTCTAAATTGTTGGATTTGGTAAGAAAGTGTTTAAAAGGCTGTTGATTGACCTAAAGAGCAGCTTTTTTGTATATATATTCTTCATTTTGCTAATCTTCCCAAAGCGTTACCGCTCTGGTGGAAATGGCAAGGGGAATACAAATGTTGTCACTAACACATCGGTATTGGCGGTGACCGAGTGTAGCCGGCAAGAATGTTAACATGTTCACGGTTCACGCTGTGAGCATATTCGACGGGCGAAAATGCTTGTGAGCATTTTTGACGGGCAAAAATGCTCACGAATGGTACAATGCAGTCCATAGGTACATTTTTTCTGCAAAGTTACAGATATTAATACCTCAGAAAATTTTATTACTGTAACAATATGAGTTTCCGTTGTAGGAAGTGCGCTTTCGATAAAAGAATAATTTTTTGAACCCTTTCGCGCACGACGCAACAGTCAGGATGTACCAAGTACATGATCTGAATGTCACAATTCGCCCGAATAACTATTTGTTTGCGCAGCATCCGGTTCAAGATATTAGGAATTAAAGAACAAAATATTCTGTGTAAAAACCAGCTCCATAACATTTTCTTCACTACTGGCAGAATCAAAATTAAAATTAAAAAAAATTCCTGTAAAAGGTTTGGGGAAGTACGATGAACATGTTTTATTCAGAATTTTTCTCTGTATGTACATACTTTTCACCAGGAGCAAAATTACAAGAATAAAAAGCAAAATTTAATTTGCGGGACATGACTGATCGTCTAATTTTTTTTGTTCGTTCCATTTTAGTATTTTCAGCAAGCGAATGTTGCGCGCTTGGACGGTTTTGAGAATAGAATCTAAATTATTATTTTGGCTGCATAATAGTTTTATGGTTTTTATCACGGTTCAGGTAACCTGGTAAGCACACCAGACGCGCTGTTACTCCATATGATGCATGCAGCCAGTCTGCTTTATGCTCGTGAACATGGGTGCCGGGCGAGGATGTTCACGTTTGTGAGCGCGCGTGCCGGACTGGATGTTCACGCTTATAACAGTAATATTTAGTCACTATAGAAATCGAACTGAAAACCGCTGTTAATAAGGGGTAGGAAGCGGTAATTTTCGTCTACTCCTAATTTGTATGTTTGTACGATTTTTAGTCTGCAAATTTGCACTGAATTCGTGAATAACTGTGCCGGGTGGAGGTGTTCATGCTTTTAAATAAAAAACAGTGAATATCCAATTTGTTGATTTCGGATTCCTCTAGTTTTAGCTTCGCAAAAATCCCGCTGAATAAGTCCTTCTTTTATGCGATTACGTGGAGAGTTTCAGATATTTTAAACCGACTTATTCCTGTTTGCCGTGTCATTTGCGCTTACACGCGTACCAAACGGAAGTAACAATGACGGCAAAACTTAATAGCAAAATTTTTCTAATACCGTGCTACATATTTCTGTCAATCCGCAGAGAAACTTGTACTCGTACATACGCCTGATTACATTGGCGGGATGTTTCGCCTTTAAAAATGCTCACAAAAATTCTTCGTTGGTCAGAAATCCTTGTTATGTGTAATGTCGAAAGTGTTACGGAGGTTGCAAGTGTATGTGAAGGCGGCTTTGAAATTTTTTGTGCGTAGTATCAGAAGCCGCGGCCTTTTAGTTTGCGAAAGGTGCGAATTATTGCGAATTATTATTATTTTTACGAATTTGCGAAAGGAATTCAATCGTCCACAGACGGGACTGAAAGTTCCCATTAGTTAACGGGCCGAAGCTGTCACTAGCATCTTTTCGGCGTTTGCTTCGGTGTACAGTCGCCGCGCGATGTGTATAATGCGGCTCTGGTGTTAATGGCACACCTAAACACACGCCACACTTGTCGTAGACACATACCTGTTCTAAACACAACCTTGCAAATCGGTTTTACTTAATTACACAGTCAAGTTGACATAATTGCACCTGTTGGTTTCTGTGCAACCCATTTTTATCTCTATCCTTTGTTTTTCTGTAACAGCTTTGAAAATATATATTGTTTTTGATCACTTTGAAGGCTGACAAAGCTTTGGTTTTTTAAAGCTGGTTTTTCTCATTCTTCATTATAAAATGCATAAGCGGCTACGAAAGTGGTTTTGGGCTTGACTATGTCCATTTTACAGTAAATTTATCTGATCTGCCAGGTAGTCTGAATGCTGTTTCCATTGTGCTTGTAAACAAGGGCGCCGGGCGGGAATGTTCACACTTTGTTGACATTGTGCTGAGCTGCGATATTACCGTTTTATGAACACATATTTGTAGCTACGCCGTAATCTGCTGTGCTTACCAGAGAACAGTTTTTTTACAGTACACAATTTTTTTTGAATTCAGCATTTTTTTCAAAAGCAGCTCTTTATCTTCCGCACTATCGAAGCTGGAAGCAGCACTGTGGAAATGAAATACAGTACACATCTGCAACGCCTATTTGCCTCTGCACAGTTCGCATGCAAATGTTCCTTTTGCTGTTCGGGCTTGCTTAACGCAATTAACGTGAAACTGTTTTATAAGACACCCTTTGTAGCGGCAGGTGACAATTTCCTTAGCCGAATCTGGTTTTGGCAGTCTGCAAGTGCAGATAATGGGAAACCGGTGCACAAATCGCTCGACATCGACACATGGCTCCAAAACCTTATTTGGACCGACGACATACGGGAAAGGGGTCATGAATTTGTTAACAACGCAGCTGTGAAGTGAAGGCGCATCTAAAAAATTGCACATTTCTTCAAGTAAGCTTTAACCAAGGTTAAGTCACCGGCTCCCGCCTCCTAAAAATTTTACTTATTGCCGGAAGGCGGAAAATTGGTTAACCTTAAGTATGAATTTAAAAAAATTAATATCATCGGCCATGTTTGAGGGAGTGTTGCCAAACATGTTTCAATAGTCAAGCTTGCACTAGTAGAGTATTTATTTTACAATGAGAAATGAGAATGGGGAATACAAAACACGCATACAGGGTACCGTGCAATGTCCGAGTTTAGCACAAATACGTGTAATCATCAGTCAGATCCTTTGCTAGATGCTTCTATAATTTACTACTACTCAGTCAATTATCCATAAGATCTATATACAGTATGTTTTCGGAAATGGGTGGATTTCTCATAAAAGAGTACCATACAAGGGTCGCGGTTGGCAGCGGCGGGAGCCGGTGACACAGCCCTGATATGCACTACATACAATATTCACATGCACTTCAGACATGGAATCACAAACGGGAAACCGTAAGAAAATATGGCGCAGAGGTAAGGCAGCTATTCGTATACTTTATAGTAATAAACAGTGTAGCTAGCTTCTTACCAAAGATTTCTTAAAAGCGATGTTGCGCAAGTCCTGCCCATGACATGCGGCTGTGGCGCACGCCAAAACATATACCCCGCAATCGGAATAATTTGGCTGCTGGTCGCAAGGCTGCAGACGAATTTCAATTTCTGCCGAAGTCGCGTTAGCTAAAGCTGCGCTAATTTTCATTAACTCGAAATCTCTTGCTTTGCCCATTTCAACTGCCAGGCTGTCATAGACATTCACAAGGAAAGGTGATTGTTTTCCATCTTGTTGCCCGACCCCTTGTAGCAGAACAAAATGGTTCCGATGAATGTACGACACTTGCAGAAAACTACGGTCACGGAAAAATAAGGAACGGCGAGTTGCAGATAATTCTCCTCTGTCGGTCAACGCTTCAATTGGCAACAGTCCATCAACTTGCGGAAACTGAGCTTTTAAAATCTCCGATACTGCTGAGACTATGAAGGTGGACAGTGGGGTTTTCGGTTGCAGAATGCTGGTTAAATCATTAATGGTTAAAGAGATTTTCGACAACGCCGCTAAAACGCTGTCAGAAAACGGGTTCGCTTTTGTTAAAAGCGGCAACTGTTCAGTACTTTCTGGCTCAGGTGATCCGTCCTCCGCTGCGGAATTATCGCCCAAGATAACTTTTAGTTCCTAAAATTTTGGAAATTCATTGATTTTGAAAGCAATAAGGTTTGATGCTCGTAAACTATAAATGTCGCACAACAAGGTTGCTGCTTTACAATTTCATAGATCGGTTAGATCATCCGGCCGCCGGCCTATATATTAGTACATGTGACAAAACTAGCCATAAAACGCTATCTATGTCTCTACCAGGTAAATGAAATCGATGTCGTGCATATGTACACTCGGTTACTATGAAAAAGGGTATCTTAATGGGAAAAAACCCCGAAAATTCGTTAAATCAGTGTTAAGATTACGAAAATATGGTGCGACATCTTTCGGCTATTTTATATACAGAAAAAATGTACAGTTTTTACAAAACTCGCTATGTGTAGTAAATTTGGTATACCTGATCTAGTTCCAAAAAGGCTTTCTGTCTGGCCATTTTTAGGTTATTCAGGTTTTGTTGGGCTTGTTCTAGACGAGCGGCATCGATAATTTCGATGTGGTCAGCTACGGCAGCCGACGAAGCTCATACACTCCGAGTATTATGACCATACGGTGGCAAACAAAAGGTCTTCATG